CTTCTGGAATGCTTGGCGTTGTTACCAGGAAACTAAAGCTGCGCTGGCTTCCACCCATACTACTCCTCCGAGTCGACATGCTATCACCGCTCCCGCTATGCGAGTTTTTGAGACCGTCCGCGTTCTGAAGGATTCGAAGATCGTCATCATCATGATTGGATTCCGAAGGATCATTATCAGAGTTCATTTGATTGACGACCAATAGATTACTCATCTGCACTGGGGTGCAAAAGCCTTTGGGTTTGCCCGTGGGAGTCCGATTCCCAGTCCGACGTGTTGGACTATGATCACTTTTAGGTCGGCTTGTTTTCGTTCGATGACTGATGGAAATATGGTCAATACTCTCGACACTTGCTGAATCACCAGTTGTTGGTCCATTTTGCGGACTAGTGGGCTTCGCTGCAACTAGGCTGGTCATGGAAAGGTCAATACTCTCGACACTTTGTGAGTCCGTTGTTGATGAATCACCAGTTGCTAGTTCATGTTGCGGACTGGTGGGCTTCGATGCAACTCCACTAGTGATGGAAAGGTCAATACTGTCGACACTTTGCGAGTACGTTGTTGCTGAATCACCAGTTGCTAGTTCATGTTGCGGACTGGTGGGCTTCGATGCAACTCCACTGGAGGTGGACTTAGTTTTGATCTGGATTCCTGTTGTCAAGTCCGTCGTTGCTGAACCGCCAATTTGTGGTACATTTTGCTGACTAGCTGGCTTAGTCGGAACTGAATCGGTCGTGATGGGCGGACTTTTGACTGGGATTGATGTCGTCATGTCCTCTGTCGCTGAATCAGCACTTGTTGGATCATTTTGTAGACTATTGGGCTTGATCGGAGCTGTAGCAGTGGTGGGCTCAATTTTTACTAGGGTCCTTATCGTCGGATTTGGATCAGCCTTCACTTGTTCTATGAATACTTCACTTCGTGAAACAGGGGATCTGTGTCCACTGTGTTTGGCAGCAGTGGATTTTGTTGGAGGACTAGATAACTCTTTGATGTCCGTGGTTGCTTTCGCCTCAATGGAACGTCCTCTAGTCGCTTGACCTGTTTGTGGTGGCGACATTTCACTGCTGTTGGAGCTCTGAGTGCTTCCACTGTGATTGGAAGGATTGGTTTTTTTTACAGACTTCCGCCATTCACTCGTAATGTTCCGTTGATTAGAAAGATTGCGATGTATCCCCTTCACATC